AGGTTGATTATGAAGTAATCTAACAGTCCCGATGTGGTTCAGTTATTCAACAACCTATCCCATGTTTCCCTGGTAAATTGGCCATTACAATATCTGTGGGTTGTTGTTTTTTAATAAATTCCTTTTAATTGCAGCATTAAACCCCAGATGTCATGTTTCCAGGTTTCCAGTTTGGACCTAAGCCAAGCTGGAAAAGACATCCACTCAAGGCAAACGGCCAGGGAGAATGTGTGCGGTGAAGTAGGGGACTTGGTCCAGCTACCAAACCTCGGGCTCTGGACCTCCAGATCGAACGCCATAGAACACATAGGGAGCCTTGGCTGGGGTGGAGGATGGAGCAAAGCTACCACGTTTCCTGCTGTGTCCACCCTTCCCCAAAATATCCAGGGTTACTCTGGTTGTTTCTAAGAGTAAAAACTCCCAGTAAGTTATTCATCACAGTATAAAGAATGTACTAATTTCATTTGATAAGTAAATTGTCAACAGCTTTTAAAAATCGGTCATGTAATTAGTAAGTCTATGCGTTCTGACCTCTTCTTCCGTCTCGATGAAGTCGTCATGAAGCCAAACTGTAATCAGACCAAAAGAATCTTGAAACCTCCGAGGCATTCTTTTTTCATCTGTCATTTGCCTCTTTAATTGCTACCTTTCTATTTTTTAGGGGATAATAGAAGTAAAATGCCTTTTTTTTAATCATAAGAATTTAGCTTGTACTAAAATATGCAATGATGGTTCCTTGTGGAAACTTATATTAAATGCGAAAATCCAAATTATTTTATTAAAAATCTATGCATTGTGTTTTTATACAGAGATGCTCACAGCAGTGTGTCTTTTAATAGAAAAATTTTAGAAATATCCTAACTCTACAAAAATAAGGGAATAATATCCCATTCAGTGGAGGAGCCATTTAGAATTGTTTACCAAAGATTTTAATACATTCCAATGGTGGGATACAAAATTGTATACATATACCACAAATATAACTTTAGGTCTTTTTCTCTTTTTTAATTAAACACACATATGTAAAATCAAAGCCTAAAAACAAAATACTCAAACTTATTTGCTAGGTAATAGGCTTGTGAGTGATTTTTATTTTTTTATATAGTTTATAGTTTTTGCATCTTCCAGGGAGTATAAATTATTATAATAATTAAAAATGCATGTGTGTTTGTGTATATTTTAATGTCATCATTCAGTACTTCAGCTGTTTAGAACTCAGGTATCTAAAAAATCTGGAGCACTGCTAAGATCCTGGAAGTAATAAAAAACTTAACTCTAAGCAGCCAGAACTAATGTTACAAAACTCATAAAGCCAAGCGTGTTATTCCTCGGACATGTGCTGACCCCTCACTCAAGCTGACATACTCTTACTTTGCACACAATTCTCAGACCATCCACTGTACGAGGGCACGGTGAGCTGGCAGACATTAACAAAAGACAAGGGCATCGGCGCACATGTGCCACCAGCCTGGCAGTGAGAGAGGACCCAGGGAAGCATGGGTGCAGACGGGAGGGCCCTGAGCCCCAGACTTACGTCCCTGAGGGTCCTGTCATCTCTTCCCCATGTCACAGTTCAGTAACACATGTTTATATTGATGGCCTAGTGTTATTAAGAAAATCCCCTTTTCTTCAACTTACTCTAAGATTATAGGAAGGCCTTTGGGGCGCCTGGATGACTCAGTTGGTTGAGCATCCGACTCTTGATTTCAGCTCAGGTCATGATCCCAGGGTTGTGGGATGGACCCCACAGGGTGTCAGGCTCTGTGCTGAGCGTGGAGCCTGCTTGGGATTCTCTCTCTCTCTCTCTCTCTCTCTCTCTCTCTCTCACGAATTTGAAATATATATATAATATATATAATTATTGTTATTATTATTATTATTAAGGAAGACTTAAAAAATGCTTGGAAAGTCTTACTGCACATGACTAAAAATGAGGGAAAAGACAACATATGGTGATTAAAGGGTAAATTTTAGATCTGTAGACTTCCTTGTCTATCTGTAATAACTCCTTTTTTCCATTCTTCAGGGGGAACATTTTACCATTACTTGCACTTTCCAAATTGTATCTGATATTATCATTCCCTGATAGTATCGTTCTCATAAAAATGTAAAGGAACTGGAGAATACTACAAAACCAGGATGCCAGGGGGCACCTGGGTGGCTCCATTAGTTGATCATCTTCTTGATTTTGGCTCATGATTCATGAGATCAGGCCCTGAGTCAGGCTCTGCACTGACAGTGTGGAGCCTGGTTGGGTTCTCTCTCTCTTTCCACCCCTCCCCAACTGCTCTTGCGCTCTCTCTCTCTCTCTCTCTCTCTCCCCTTCAAAATAAATAAACATTTTTTTAAAAAATCAGGATGTCAGAAAATGCCAAAGTCTCTACCTCACACAGCCTTAAGAATCCATCCATTAAAATAGGAGTAGCACCCCAGAGCTCAGATACAAGCTGAGCCGGTTAGATGAGAAGGCCTGTGTAATGACATTTAGTTTGAGATGTGGCATTCCATTGGCACTTAGCAAGTGTTAGTTGAATTTGAATATGAGTTTCCCACCTGTGACGCAACAGACAGTGTGGGCGCTGGAGTCAGACCAAATTTGGTTCAGATGCGCATTCTGCAGCCCTAAACAAAGCCACATAACCCACCCACCCACCTGCCTACCTTTTCTACAAGGTAGATGTGAGGGTTCAACTTTGTTGATGTACAAGAAAATGGTAGCTGCCTTCCCGTAATAGTTGAGGGGAGGGATGTGACACTTTATTACTTTTCTCTTGTACAAAGTTGAGGAGAGCTTTCAAGGAGTCTCAGAATCAAAGAGGGCTACAAAATTCCATTCTCTTGTGTCATAAGCACAGCTTGCTCCCAGGTCTGCTCTCATGCCCTGGCTTTCATCAGCCCACCTGCAACCCAGCAGAGAAGCAGAGCAGAGAGTCTGCAGGGTGGGGCTGGGTGGCAGTGGCACTGAGGGCATCGTGTCGTTCACCCTTTGTAGCAGCAAGTGCTTAGGCACCTGGCCTCTGACTGTATGCCAGCGACGTCACCTTCAGCATTCCAGGCTGGTTCACTTGGGGCTTCTCACCCTCCTGGGCTGGGATGGCAGCTGAGAGCTTGGCCCATCTGTTCAGAATAGATGGGTCTGTGGGTGGTGCTGATGCTTTGTTTTGGTTTGATTACCTGGGCCCCCTGCAAAATCACTTAGAGAGGGATACTGTCAGCAAGTGGTAGAGGAAAACTGGCAAGATGGGCAAAAATGTGTGGCTTACCCAATCACTGTAAGTTTTGACAACATATTAACTGAAAACCTAGATTAAGGCCAGTAGAGTTTGCTCTGTTTTGTTTTTCTTGAGAACCAAAAACAGTAATTTACTGGTTTGCTTGTGCTGTTTTCTATGCTCCCCAGGGACCACCCCTAATTATGAAATCCCTCCAGGCACCAACACTTAGAGCCAAGCAACGGAGTCTGGTAGGCCCATGGATTAGAAGCCTTGTGGTTGCCTTTTTGCAAAAAGAATAACCCTTGCTTAGGTGTCAGAGACCGCAGGCATAATCTAGCATCAGAAAAACCTCTAAGAGAAAAGGGAGCAGGGAACCGGCATAAGGGCTTGTGGCTGCGGACACGGGTAGGGGGAACCCTTCCTTCTTCTTCGGGGCACTTATCACAACTGTAATTTGAAAATATATTCAATAATTAGGGGGGCCTTTCTCCTGCGAGATTGGAAGCTCCTCAGAGGCAGGGCCTGCTCTGTCTTGTATCTGTGTCCCCTCCCTAAGGCCTGGCACATGTAATAGCTGCCTGTTGGGAGAGTATAGTTTCAGGTCTCACCTCTTTTCCAGCCTCATAGCTGATGTTTTGTAAGCCACTTCTGTGCGTGTGTCCTCATCAGAAGAATACAAGTCAAAAGGGTCTTATGTTTGTACCTCTCTCTGCCTCTGGATCAGTCTTTTCCTATCGGTGAATTGAGCTACTTCATCCAAGCATAGTACCTAGAACTGTGATCAGTACCGCGGGGGTGGGCTTAACTAGCCCAGCATTGAACACGACCATCATTTCCAGGGTCTGGATACTCGATTTCCATGAACTCGTTATTTATTGTTTCAGACTTAAGAGTAATAGTGTATACCCTGCTTTCTTGACAGGGTTTTTGTGAGAACCAAGTGAAATGGTGTATATGAAATTTCCTCAGGAACTAAAATGCTTTGTAGAGCTAAACAGCGATTGTTATTGCTGGTCCAAAAGTATCTTCCTGAGAAGAAACTCAAGTTCAAAAGAAGGCACTGAAGACCAAGTATTGTAAACCGTGTGTGTGACTGGCCTTATAAAGGAGAAGCCATTTCCCAAGTTAATTTTTCATTGCAAAAAATGTAGGTAGATACACATATTAGATAGATAATAATCCATGTAAGATATAGATACAGACAGATATCTCATTGGTCCCCTCTCTGCCAGTTCTCTAATGCAGGGTGATTAGTATTTGGGCATCAGAAAAGCTGGTCATCATCAAGGCGTGAGGCATGGGTTGTAGTCTAGCCTGCCACTCCCTCACTGAGATGATCAGGGACAAGTCGTTTAACTTCTCCACCAAATAAGGATTCCTGCTTCATGAAAGTAAATTAAGCATTGAATATTTAAAACAAGAATATGAATATTGATAGCCCTTTGGACCCGTAAGGTTGATTACATCCCTCAGATACTTTCTTTTCGATCCCACCTCTCCAGTTACTTCACCTCTTCCCCAAAGAGGGGATTTCTCTCCCCTCTTGCACCCTGAGCACTGTCCTCCGGATATATTTTAGGGTGTCTTTGAAGGAAGCTTCCAAACTTGAATTCAGGATGCTTCATACTTTTTCTTGCACTTGGACCCTACAATTAATACGAAACTGGATTATTATCCATTTTAATCATCTCAAACCTAAATAGGTTGTTTCCTGTCTCCGGATCCAGAAGACTTAGGCCGAGTTCGAAAGCTGAAAATAACTTCTCGTTTTTGTTTGTCTTCTAGCGACAGACATCACACCTCCAGCGCAATCCCTGTTCCAAAGAGACAAAGCTCCATGTTTGGAGGCGCAGAAGTAGGCTTCTCAGGGGGGATCCCTTCCCCAGACAAAGGACACCGGAAACGGGCCAGCTCAGAGAACGAGAGACTCCAGTACAAAACCCCTCCTCCCAGTTACAACTCCGCGCTAGCCCAGCCCGTTACCACCATCCCTTCCGTAGGGGAATCCGAGAGGAAGGTGACGTCTCTGTCCTCCTCCCTGGACACCTCCTTGGACTTCTCCAAAGGAAACAAGAAAAAAGGAGCCGATGTGGGTGACAGATTAAACGGAGGTCATGTGAGCGTGAACACTAGCCAAGAACAGGAAGAAGCCCGCTCTGGGCTCCCCGCCACTGTCAACGGCACTCTCCTGCCTGGCGAGCAGGCCGGCCCCTCCGGTGTCCGGCTTCCGGGGCCCTTCCTCCCGGGCCCGGGGGCCGAGCTGTGCTGTGCTGTGGAGCAGGCGGAAGAGATCATCGGGACGGAGGCCACGGGTTTCACCCCGGGCGGTCAGCTGGAAGCCTTTCACTGCGTCCCGGTGGACAGCGCCGTGGCCGTGGAGTGCGACGAACAAGTTCTGGGGGAGTTTGAAGAGTTCTCCCGCAGGATCTGTGCGCTGAGCGAAAACGTGTCCAGCTTCCGCCGGCCACGCAGGAGTTCTGATAAGTGAGGCGAGCAGGCAGCCTGTAGCGCCGGGACGCAGTCGCTGCCTGAAATGAGGATAAGGCTGCACTGGCCACCCCCTTGTAATAATTATGGCACGAAATGAATATTAATGGAGGACGCTCCTTGGAAAAACCGACTTTGTAAATCGTGGAGGGACTCAGGATTGTTGTGTGTCGGTGGGCCAGGCGGAGTTCGGCTTTGCTTGCAAGGCTCACTTTTCAGGCCCGACAGTTGTTTTAAGGCAAAATTCACTCTCCAGCTCAAGTCACCTTATGGATATCTGTCTGCTTTTTAATTTACACTTCTGTGTTATCCTCAGAGGGAAGATGATAATATATAAATAATATAATAAACTCACCTTTAGTTTCTCATAAGCATTTGCCCTCAGCCCAGTTTATAAAACTCTGGAAAACCGAATATGCAAAACAAAGGTTTTCACCGTTTAACTGAAAGACCTTTGGCCATCCGTTAGTTTGATGACTAAGAAGCACAATGGTCTCCTTATACCCTGGCCCTGGCTGCCCCTGCCCCCGCACCCCCATTGACCTCTCTGCTGCCCCATCTTCACAGCAGGTGGGTTGTGCACCCCGAAAACCGAGAACAGCAGAGTCTCTGGTTCTTGATTGCAGAGACCTTCCACCTCCTCAGATCAGGCACGCCCTTGACGTAACCCTCCAACGAAAGGAAAAACTTCACCTCTGGCAGACCCCAGGAGACTCTCAAGGGCTCCCAAGGTCGCAATAGTCAGATGCCATTCGGCGTCCTTTGGGGACCAGAGTTTTTATGTGGGCAGATGCTGCAAAACCAGGCATGCTTTCTGGCAGTGCACTCACCAGACACGAATCCCTGTATGTAAATCCCACGTTAATTTATTAAATTTCCGTTGGAAAGGAAGGCACTGTGTATGATGAAATATCTGTAGAAAGTCAGGCCGTCCAAGGTGCGGACTGCGAGGCTGTTGAGATAGTTGAATGAAGCGGCTTAGATGAGACATAGAATACTGTCGGTGTATGTGCAGTTGCATTCATATTAAATTATGTTCTTCAAGTCCAGTTTCATCCCTGGAGCTCAGATTTCATTTGCTTTTGCTATATACTTTATATACCCAAGGACATTGCCTCAGGGTTGCAAGCTCTTTAAGGAAAATTTATGCATATATCCATGTATTGTATAGAAGAATAAAAACTGAGTTTACTTCACTTGACCTGATTTGTTCTTTCCAGTTCTGAAATCCGTCTTGAACCTACGTCTCCACCTTCCATCATGACAGGACAAGCCTGAACAGAAACCGTGGCTGTATCTAAGCCAATGTCGCCGACGCGAGCGCATGCGTCCTACACAGCAGGGCAGACCCCTTCACAAGGGTTCTCTCCAGGAGCCGCATTGTCCTACATAACTGAGCATTTTCATATATTGTCCAAGCACTCCTGGGCTCAAACTCTCATTTACAGCAATGTTGTCAAGCAGAATAGTTCATGTTGTTGTTTTCCGTATGTAAAGAGAACTCACAGAATCCATGCTTGACGCATGGACCCAACCTGCAAGCAATTAAGAGCTTTAACGTGATCTGAAGAAATCCATCGTGTTTCACATAAAGAGGTGGAACTACTCCAAAAACCTAAAGCAGAAGCAAGCTAGAGTCATGGCATCTTTGCAGTGTCCTGTCATTCACGGTAGAGTCAATGAGGGGGGAAATGTCTGTGGTCTTGGCTATACATCTCACTGGGCTGCGTGGGGTCCTCCAATGAAATAGCACTTACCCACCCAAAAGGAAAAGGTTTTGGAAGGATTATGCTAGCGTTGAACAGTGGAAGGTACATCACATGTGGCTCAAAGTTCACATATGGGGGTGGACTTTAAACTCCATGCCAAACTTAAAGATGGTGCCTTGAGTTGCAGGCCCTCCGGCCTAGGCCCTGGCGTCCCCAAGCAGAGGAACCACACGCAGAGCACCCGCAGGGACAATGTGTACCTCAGGTTCCCTAGCACAGGGCCCTGCTACTGAATGTGGCATTAGGTAGCTCAGAACTGGTTACCTATACACTGGCTTGGTCCACACTGTGTTCAACGATCTTTTGCCTCAAAACGCCACCTAGGGTTGGGTTCACTCGGCTTGGGTTTCAGCTTTCCATTGAGTCTGTTCCGTGCCTATGGTTTCTTCCTTGACTTGGGTAGAGCCAACAGTATCGCGTGTCTCCGGAAGGAACTCTGTTTGACATTTTCCAAAGCTGCAGAATTAGTTTTGCCTCTGCTTAGAGTGGCCAAGGCCAAAATACAGGATGAGTTGCTTTTCTCCTACTAATCTTTTTAATTAGTCTTGTAAATCACTAAAGGAAATAAAACTTGCCTTGAGGATGTAAGGTGCAGTGAAAATCCACTACGATCCATGTCTGAACTGCTAAGAGCCCTTTTCGTTTTCATGTGGTGGAGACACTTTGAACGGCCAGCAAGTGTTAATCAAACGAATATTTGATTGTGTTCTCTCTCTCCACTTCCTCTTACCCACTGGAAATTCCAGAGATTTTTTGTTCCCCCCGCAGAATATTAGTTTTGGAAGATTGTATCCAGCGCTATTTTTTTAGCAGTTCTAATGGTGCCCATTTATCCTGACCTAACCGGTTATTTAAATAATTTTTTAAACCACCACCAATAATAAATGGCATGTGAAACCGATCTGTTGGTAATTGGAAGAAAACTCAGCATCTGTATTTATAAAATAAAATTGATTAGTATTTATTTTGAGAGTAAAAGTGTATGTTATTTCCCAGCTATGTTTGAGTCCTGTCTTCTTCATTGTTTTGAATTTCATATTGAAGCCGAGTTAACTATGAAAACCTTGTTCATAAACCGTCAGCCAGCCCTTTCACATGTATTGAGCTAGGTCTCTCTCTGTCCACAAGGGACTGGGCTAAACAATATAATTCAGTGTGACAGATCCTGTGATGGAGAGCCGTAGAGCCATGCTATAGAATGCAGAGAAAGCTATTCTGCCTCAGGGATCAGCAGCAGTTCATGGAGGTAATGCCGATGAAAGATACAGGAGCCATTACAGGTAGAGGCAACAGCGAGGGGCCTGAATGGATGTGAAGAAAGGTGAGAGGAGAGGGTGAATTGCAGGCCGGTGGGGAGGGCCTCCAGGTACCAAGATTTCGATACTTGCGGTGGGCAGCTGCTAGGCAGCCAATTCGGCGCTGGGCTCTAGTGGTAGTCGCCTGAGTCTGTTGAATCTTCTTCCCTATTTTGTTGTGCAACCAAAAAAAAGTTTGCGTCTGAAAACGAGGTGCATGCTTGGGCCCCAGCTGTTTTCCAGGTAAGTATCACATAACGAACTGCGCGTGTCCTGGGTGGGATGAGGTGCAGCCAGCGTCTGTTCTGAATGCCCCAGCCGGGCCACTTGCAACCTGGGGTTCTGGGCAAGCCATTGACCTTTTAAGGACGCCCATTTCTGAATCTGTAAGAAATTGGACTGAACTCTAGCCTTGCCATTGCATTCATGTGGGGCCTGTGCCATCAGGGGCGGTCCTTCTCATCCTGCAGGAGGCCACCGCATAGTGACAGAGAGGATGCCCAGGACTCGCTATCACCGTTTCCTGTTCTAGCACTTGGGCACAGTCACTTACTTCATCTCTGTGAATCCGGCCCCTCCTGTCAAGTGGGGATGATCCGCCTTCTCCCACCCCCGCCCCACACCGGCTTGACTGCAGTGTTAGAAAAGACACACGTGCTTATAAAGCACTTAGAGATTTTTGCAAAGCACTGTGCTCCTTGGGAGCAGTTGGTCATTCGTCACGGACTCCTGGCATCACGTACATCGGGCCTCGGTGGGACAGCTGAAGGGCGAGGTTTACTCCGAACACCCCGACGGTGCGTCAGGGCTGAAACGGGCCTTTCGGAAAACTGAGCTCTAAACAGATGTCAAGTGTTCGGAGGTGTTTTAGTGGGTGGCAGGGACACAGTGTTGAGGCAGGGTCTGTAAGCCTAATTAGCTTCATTTGCATGTTTTTTAACACCTGGCAGACGAGCTTACCCAGGCCCACCTCATCCATAAATATTCTCTTACGAAGCTTCTGGCTGCCTCGCCGCAGGCTGAACCAGTGCCCAGAGCTCTTCGTTTTGCTTGAAGTAGATACAAGCTGCTTCTTTTCTTCCTTTTTTTTTTTTTCCTCCTTGCGCATCTAATTACAGTTTTGTAGGTAGACAGCTCAGCCTTGTGGATTTTAAATGAATGAAAAACACATGTCTATAAAATAATTCCACACATTTTAGAGGCTGGCAATGTCCGCAAATCCAGAAAAAGAACGGTCTTGAATCTAGATAAAAATGAGAAAGTGCCAGTGGGTGACGTAGCCGCCGCCAGCCAAGCCCGGGCCCCGAATTACAAGCAGGGGAGTGGCAGGCTTGGATCACTTCGGGCTTGCACAAAACACAATTTGAATGAGCTCCCCTCAGTCCCCACTCATTATGAGCGGCAAATTAGAAGGAATGGAAGGTGGGAGTGGACAGGAATTTTGGACAACCTGACTCTTAAGAAGCCGATACGAGCAGGAAGGAAGCAGTCTGGGGATATGAGTGAGGAGTCCTCAGCCTGATCCCACCCAACCTGCTGCTCACTGGCTGTGTGACCCCCAACAAGGCACTTGACTTCTCTGAGCCCATGTGCTCCTCTGAAAAGAGAAGCCGACCCCTGGCTTGGGTTTTCCCTTGTGTCCAGACAGAGATTCATTCCTCTTACCTTAAGAGCAAATTAGTATTCATTCTTCAAAACTTGCCTCATATCACGGTCCAGAGAATGGACCCTTTCCTGTCCCTCTGCCTGCTGTGAAGACCTTGGGGCTAAGCCATTTAACACAGCCTGCTTCCGGTCCGGGTCTTGTACGTAGCAGACCAGCCACTACCTGGCCATCTATTCAAAATCCTTGATGCAAGGGCTTGTGAAATATAGAACAAAAATTAATAAACAGGCAGCTTAAAAAACTCAGCTAGAATGACTTTTACTGTTCCTAAAGACAGCCCTCTGTCATCGGGATAAGGATAGATTCATTTTAGTTGTATGGAAAATGCATGAAATGTGTTAAGGGAATGTATTCTTCTAAATGGTTGAAATAAGTTTTGATATTTTAAGGGATCAACTTGCCCTCTCAAAAATTTACTTGCAAAAAAATGTGTTAATTCACTTATAGGGAACAACGTACTCCTCAAGGAACCAGCATCACTACGTTTTCCACAGATGTCTCGCCCTTTGGGTGAGGGACTCGGCCACCCTGTTCCTGTGACGCCACCCAGGCTACCTTTCAGGCGGATGGTATGTGAACTCTTGTGCATGTGAGCAGAGGTCTCCAGAACCTACTGACCTTGAGACCAGACCCTGTCCTTCCCGAAACCTGCCAGTTACCTTGACTGCTCTGCCCCCAGCCCCTTCTAAGCCCTTTGCTGGCACACGGGGGGCGCTCATGAACTTGGGGGGAGTGGGAGAATGAAACAGAGCATCAATCCAAGGATGTTGTAACTCACACCTGCGTCCGTCTCGCAGCCCCTTGGGAGCTCTGTGAGGGCCCAGCGTGCCCAAAGTCGGCGTCAAAAGTCACTGACGACCTTTAGAGGCAGAACCGACCAGGGCCTGGCAGGGCCTGCGGACCTGAGTTTTTGCAAACGGTAAAAAAAAAGGCGCACGTTTGAGGGATTATCACAGATTTTCAGTAAACATCCTGAGTGGTAATGAGCCCCCGCTAGCTGGGAAAACAGGGCAGGGGCCGAGCCCCTGCTGCCCTGCCCTACAGAGCAGCTGCACTGGGGAACCTGCTTCCTCTCCCCAGTGATGCAGGGACTCTCAAACGGGTGGTGTTTTCCTGTCCCAACCCAGTCTCTTACACGATAGCCTTCGATGCCGAGGACAGCCATGGGGAGACGTGGACAACGCGTTATGCAACATCACCACCGAGCAGGAAGCCCACGGAAGGCCTCTGAGAGGGTGACCTGCCCTCCACACTGGGGCCACACCAGGCCATGGCCTCTCCCCAGGGCCTCTTCTGTGACCTAAGCCTTATCAAGGCCCCGTATGTAGCCTGCTTCCCCGGTCCACCCATCTGAACATCCTGCCAGCCACAGGTAGCTCTTCCCCAGTCAGTACCCCTTGCTAAGAAGGAGGAGCAAATCGGGAGGACGTTTCCGCCCAGGGAGTGGGAAAAGTCAGCACCTCATG